CCGTGTCAACATCAAACCACTAGACAGTCTATTGGAGTGCCATCAAGTGTCCATTAGCCGCGGCGACATGTTCGGCATTGATTGGTCGCCGTCCCGAGGCACATCCTGAGCGGCTCTTTTGCGAGAGATAGACGCCCCGGCGCCCTCCCACGCCGTGCCTTTGTATGGGCGAGGACTGAAGGTCGCCGCGGTACTGCCGAACGATCGGAATCCGGTGGATAGCGCCTCCGTTCCCTTGTTCTCGCACTGGTGACCGCAGCGTGTCGGGTGGCCCGGCGGAACAAGTCAGACAGTGGAAGACTGGCGCACTGGGCTCATGTGACCACGACCCCTAGTCCACGCGACCTCGACCCCAGTCTCCCGTGACCTCGATTCCGGACTTGACGCGGGCTCCCGTGACCTAGACTCCGGGCTCACGTGACTTTGACCCCGGACTCACTTGACCTGGGCCCCGGTCTCACGTGACCTCGATCCCGCTCTCACGTGGCCTCGACCTCGGTTCCATATGACCTCGACCCCTGGTTCACGTGACCTTCACCCTGAGCTCACTTTACCTCGACATCTGGCTACCGTGACCTGGACCCCGGACTCCGACGACCTGGACCACAGGCTCGCGTGATCTTGACACCGGGCACGTGTCGGCGTCCGCATCCGCCTGCAGGTCCGGATAAGTGCATGGGGTTGTGGAGGACTAAGGGCTAGAAAGTGGTGACTACGACGTTAGCAGAAGAGATGTTTCACATTTAACACCCGAGATACTAAGATACGACGCATTGCATAATGCAACTGCACGATGAGCAGGGCACATAAGCGCACGCAGGGGCGGATCACGGACTTCGTTAAGGTGGGGTCCACTCAACATTTAGGGCCCCCACGGAGTTAAGGACTTCCCTAAAAAAATCACCGAAGGCCGGCCATCGAGTACTAAGATTTTCAACATGTTATTTTTACACGGAAACCCATTTTACTGCGCGCATCCCTAGAAAACTAGACGTGCTACGTATGCCCATACTTGGGATTTATTCGTTTTCTCCAAATCATGGTAAATTCTGTCATTTGAGGCTAAGTTTTTCGGAAAAAATAGCAATTGTTTAAATTGGCTGCTAAACACCATTAACGTCAAGCACGAACCTGATTCCAAACGTATTTACAGCTGGTCTGCTGGTCGATGTGACCAGCTGATGGCTGATGACTTGTGACCAGCTGATGGCTGATGACTAATGCTGAATTTTTGGTTTGTGTGTTACGAAGGAATAGAAAATATCCAAGCATTAAAATGCATCATATAAAACGAATAAGAATGCGATGCACAAGCATAAAAGGCATAACAAATTCAATACTTAACCGAAATATCACATACGACGTCGGATGCTCGACCATTGCGCGTAAAAATTCATCGGCGCAAATCCGACTGCCGCTCTAAGGCCAAGGCACCAAGACCAAGAGCGACGAAACGTGTGCGATCATGAGTGCCGGCAAGACCAACAAAGAAGCTTCCGTCAACTAGTACGGGTCCTCAAAGCAAGCGAGAAGAACACAGGACCATTGTGATAGACACCTGGACGATTGTAAGGCCTCTGGACAGCGTAATGAGTTTGTCTGCTCACGGGCTTCATCGAGTGTACCCAAGCAGGCTGTCAGATGGCCCCGACAGAAACGTAGGGCCCTACATTTAAATACCAAAACCCAATGTGCAAGGTCCCCGGACAATCCAATGCGCCTGAGCAGGTTGACAGATAAGGGCCCCGACAAGTGCATAGGGCCCCCCCATTTAAAAAAGAAGCACCAATACCCAACTCGGACGGCCCCGAGCGATCGAGTGAGCCCAAATGGGTCAACGGACGGGCCCCGACAAGGGCTCAGGGCCCTGCGCAGGGCCCGAAGCAAGTGGCATAAAACTGGAAGGGCCCTGGACCAGTGCAGAGGGCCCATGAGCATGTATTTCGTGATTGTGCCGGCAGGCTAACCGTGACCAGCGTTAGGGACCCCTGAGCAAACAAGAAATACCCTGGCATGTCAACATGTGGGCCCTTGGCCCGGCGTCTAGAACGTTACGGCCAAATAGAAAGAATCTGTAGAAGGTCCCTGATTGACAAGGAGTGCCCCGGCACGCTAGCAGGAAGGACTGGCAAGAGCGCAGGCCCCCCGAGCAAATGCAAAGAAATCAAGGGCAACATGGAAGACTCCTTAACGATCAGGTTGACCCGTAAGTGGACATATAGGGCCCCCAGAAACAACGTAGGGCACCTGGACAGCGTCAGCAGTCTTAAGACCCCCCAATCACCACCCTCTCAGTCACTGAATAATAATTCTTGTCTGCTTGTGGGCCCTTCACTTTTCGCCTGGATGCCCAAAGACGTCCGATATTGTTGCGTTCTGCGTAAATAAAAAACTGCGTCTGTTCGGCAGGCTGTGGGGCCCCTCGCAGCCGACGGGCCCCAAGGGGGCCCGTCGGCCCCCTATGATCCCGTGCCCCCCTCCCCTCTGGATCCGTCCCTGAATGCACGCAATAAACGTAACCAGCGGGAACCGTCAGACGGCTTCGGCGCAGTTTCAGCAGGTCGCAGTCGTCTTACATTGAATCGGTTAGAATATGCTCATAGCAAGCTGTGATGGCTCGGAGAAACAGTGCCTGCGTGCGGAAGTGAGTTAAATTCGGTCCATACATCCATGTTTAGTGTTTTCAGCGCGAACTCTTAGATGCTGAAGTGGCTTTTTTGGCATAGCTTTACAACTTGTCTTCCACTTTTAATTCAGTGTTGTCTCCTGTGATTAACGATATAGCCATTTTTCCCGATTTAGTTCATGTCACTATGCGATGCATCGGCATCTAGGGCATGGGAAGGTAGGCACTTCGGGCAATGAACGCGATCCCATCAGCGTGGGCTCCAACGTTCTTTCTCCTCATATGTCGCTACACGCAGGACTAACCGCGCTGTATGGGCGTCAGAAGTAAGCTGTCTTAGCTTCTGGCATGTAAGACAAAAACTTGTTGGGTTAAAAGGATAATTCGTTGAATCCGGTGTCTTCCTTACCTGCGTCGGAATCTGAGGACCTGTCGCAGGATCTCCGCGTTGTCCTGTGTGTTGGGACTCTATATCGGTTGCCAGCTTCGTGCGCCTGAAGGGACCGCCGCTCCTCTCACGGAGAAGGCCGATATCTTAAACGGTTTGCGGGTGTTAAGATCTACTTCCACATTATAGCTGTTTCCTAGCACGAACCTGACGCACTTCTGCGTCGCAACGCCCTGATTGGCTGATTTATCTCGGCCGTTGGCTTACCTTTCTTGTTAGGTCTGCGTGCCTGCAATACAGTTACTTATCAGGAGGTTTCGATGGCACAGATAACGTCGCTGGCACTGATCTCCTGTCTATTAGCTGGAGTGTCGCCCCGTTTGTGATTTATGCAGCCGCTGTCTGATAGGGAAGTCACGCTGACCGTCCTCCGGTCGCTGATAGTGACCTGGTGACTTCATCTGTCACAACGAACGCCATTGGACGTTGGAAGTGGATTCAGTGCAGAGGCATATATGGTTGTCTCTCACCAGCTTAGGCGACGTCGCCACCTTCCATGACGTAGGCGGGTGCTATCTCCCGGTGGTGCTATTAACGACAACGACCTGCTGATTCCAGTCTTGATGTGCTAGACCCCCTCCCCGCAAAAAAAAAAACGCTGGTAGCCCGGCGTAGGATCCACATGCTTTCTTCTTCTCCAGTCCGTGTAAGCTATCTCACACGGACACAGCCGGGTAAATTCAAACGAAGTAACAGGTCGTTTTGTTTGTTGTTTTTCTCATGGTTTTTGTTAGCACATGGTTTATGCGCTGAGTAGAACTGTGTTGACTCAAGACATGGCACGGTGTTCTTTCAAGGTATACCGCGTGGTCATTTGAAGCAACCACATGAAATGGCATGACCTCGACCCTGGTTGACAACGCTTTTACAAGATACATGCATGGATGTAGCACGACGCGGTTCATGCATTGCCCAAGTTCACCCCTCACGTAAACAAATTAAAAATCGTTAATTTTTAGGAAGGCAATTTTTAGTATCTGACTCAGCATGACCTTGAGATTTAATGACTTTTCGTCACCAACGACATGCCTGTCACGATGTGTATATGGCGCTCTTGCAGACTGCTTTGACCCAATATAATCTTGGCACTCGACCACCATTGCAACGGCTACGAGCGCTCACGGCGTTAATTTTATAAGCACCTTTGGCGTTACGCAGTTATATTAAACGGAAGTCAAGGACTAGTAAAACATTGGGCCGTATAATTCACAAATAACGCTGCTAACACCGAAACCACTAACAGGCCCAGCGTCGTTAATAGCGCAGTAAGCGCTGAAGCAGTCTCTATCCTTCGAACATGCTGAGGAAGTCATTAGATTGCACAGTTATGGACATAAACACGACCTAAGGTGTGAAATGTTGACGACAGAGGAAGAAATACGAAATTCCCGGGCCATATTTACATCCGCCGTGACCTGTGACCGCGGCGGGTCAGCGAGAAGTAACCTCTGCCCGCCGGGGCGGCTGTCTGGGCGCAGCATCCCGTGGGCAGCCAGGAGAGCCACGATCAGGAGAGGCTACTCACCGTGAATGGCTCAGCGGTGCTGCCGCGCGCGCTCACCAGCAGCCTCCAAGCGCGGGCGGCGGCTCAACGTTGGCCTCCGCGCGACGTGAACGAGCCTTTCACGTGTTCGACTCATCCGCGTGTCTGGTGCAGTTGTCTGAAATGTCGCGCCAGTACCTGGCAACACACCACATTGCGGTGCGTCGCATTACGTCACACATCACATCTGGGTTTTCTGCTTCAATTGGTAACGTTCGGCCGGAAAGGCGGGATCATCGTTAGCCTCTGCTTAAAAGCCGCTCTTACGCTCGAGCCAGTCCGCTGCTGCGCCTTTTCTGGCGGCCGGCCTGACCAGCGGCGCTCTCTCGGTGCGGTGGTGTCAGCGCCTGACCCCGCCTCCAGGGTGGGGCTGGACGGCCGGGCGTGCCTGCAACGACTCATGTGTGAGGTGTCCGGGGCTCCGCGGCACCGAGACGGCCTCTTGGGCGAAGTCGTCAACACCGTCCTCCTGTGAGTACACCTTCTCATTCCCACGCACGTCTCACCCTTGTCCTCGGCACCGGCATACTGGAGATTTTCTGGCACACGGATGGCAATCGGGACACCGTTCTGGATGATGTGTCATCCAGCACAGATCGATTCGGTTCTAATACCTTCGACAAATCGATCGCCCCCTTCCCCCTCCACCACCATCACCACGTCCCACACACACGCCCCACATATCAGCTTCATTCTAACCCCCTTATCGACGACACTGGCTAGCGTTGATGTTTCTCGAAAGAAACAACAAAGTCATATAATCAGGCCACTCGCTCCCCCTATATAAAGACACCGTGCCGTCTTCTTCGCGACTATGACTCACATTCCTACAGAGCATCATGTGTGTATGCGGCCTAGGCAAAGATGGCAGCCAGCTTTTGAACCAACTTTCTTCTCTTTACAATGCTGGATGCCCGAGACTGTTCGTTGCTGAGTCGCGCGTGCGCCTCCCCACTGAGGACCCCTCACGTGTGGACCGCGTGCCCACAGCGGCGGGGACAGCGCTGACAATGAGGTGGGGACGGGGACGGGAACAGAAGTGGCGCTGTTCTCCAACTCGACCCGGCCGGCTGGCGACGGCTGGTCATCGCAACTGTGAGTCCCCTCCCCCTCCCTCCCCCCCCCCCCGTGACGTCTGTGGTTCACCGTGTTCATGGGTCCGTCGCTGGTGGCCCGTGTTATGTCTGGGTTCGGTTCAGCGCGACCCATTGTGGAGCTGCAGATTGGCGAGGCTGCAGCCCACCGCGTGGTTGGGCCCGTCGGGCTAGGGTCCAACGTGCAGCCGCCAACTACGGTGCACCGCTGGCCTGGTCGCTTCGCTGTCGGCGCTGGACGCCAGCACAGATATGGTCGTGGCATGCATTGCACGGTGGTATACCAGCCCTGGGCCAGTCTAGTCGGGCACCTAGGGAAGATCAAGAACTAATCAAGAGCTTCTGTCCTCCAAGCAGTCGAAATGTCCAGTCCCACCACTCCCAACAGTGAATGTGTGTTTACACGACAGAGTGTAGGGAGGTGTCAGTGTGGGGAGGTGTCAGTGTAGGGAGGTGTAGGGAGGTGTCAGTGTAGGGGGGTGTCAGTGTAGGGAGGTGTCAGTGTAGGGAGGTGTAGGGAAGTGTCAGTGCAGGGGGGTGTCAGTGTAGGGAGGTGTCAGTGTGGGGGTGTCAGTCTAGGGAGGCGTCAGTGTAGGGGTGTGTCAGTGTAAGGAGGTGTAGGGAGGTGTCAGTGTGGAGGGTGTCAGTATAGGGAGGTGTCAGTGTAGGGAGGTGTCAGTGTATGGAGGTGTAGGGAGGTGTCAGTGTAGGGGGGTGTCAGTGTAGGGAGGTGTCAGTGTAGGGAGGTGTCAGTGCGGGGAGGTGTCAGTGTAGGGAGGTGTCAGTATAGGGGGGTGTCAGTGTAGGGGGGTGTCAAGGTTTGACCGTTGCCGTGGGAGTTTCTGCATGTTTTGTTACTAGATTTAAGTCATAAGGCCATCACTCTGCTTTTAATAATTTTGGTTTTGGCAACTATGTATTACAAAAACAAAGTAATTTTCGTATTTGTACTTATATCTTGAGCATGTTAACAATTCCGTGCACGTTATTTCTCGGACAAAGTGTTGAGTACGCCAGTATAGCATATTGTAGCTGACACAAATGCATTATGATGGCCTCTAGGTCGTAATTAATATAATATCTTTCCAACTTGTTGTCCCTGAACTTGATCGAACCAGTCAGTCCCCTAAAGCGGACTTAATTATTGTTGAAGCACTGAATAACGACCTGACTGGAAAAAATATATCAAGCGTGTTATCGTGCATGCGCGGTCCAGCAGGTTCGTTGCTTAATCTATGAAAGTTGAAAATGCTTTGTTTGGCGCAGGCTTATCGGCGGAGCCCAGAAGACCGCCCGCGCTAGTCATTTAAGCCATAGAGATTTGGCAATCCATCAGATACAGCCTCCGTCGCAAAGCAGCGTCTCGGATCTTGATCCGGCTGAGATTGCGCAGATAACAGCTCCGTACACAGATACCGGCGCACAGCATCTCTTACATGGCTTGAGAGCTTGACCGTTGTTGCGATACTGCGAGAAATGTCTCACACATGATGGTGTTGGGTGCCTGCAGGTGTGCAGACCTTGAGGTGCCCTTTAGTTCCTCAACAATGTTTAAATTTTCGACGACAGTAAACAATGTTCACTTCCAATCGGGTTGGAAAAAAAGAAAGAGAATTTACTGTTGTTTTTTTTTAAAGCCTGCAATAACCGCACGTCTTACGAGTCAATTTTGTCTCGGCAACAAGCGGAACCGTGAAATCACCCATATCACTTAGTATATTATGTTATGCGTGGCTTTCATTCCGGGTGGACTGCATGTATGGTGGAAAGAATACGCTTATCGCGACGATAACACTAAGAAATAGTGAGTCTTTTGGTATCCTGCGTGATATTCTGTTAATAGCCGTAATGTTTGTATGAATCATGTCCGTATTTTTCTGATTGCTGATAGATTTGTTTTCTTTATCCCAGGTTTGACGCCGAGGAGTTGGCAGAAGCAAGGATGCATGGTAGTTTCCATGGCGACTGCTCAGAACGCTACGGCAGCTGCCCCGTATCCATCTTTAACATTATCTGATGTATCATCATCTGGTACAACGCATATGGGTTGTGGTGCTTTCAGGATTTTCAAGTTTTAATATTATGCGGAGTGGACATGAAACTACACCAGGTTATGTTGATGGCTCGTCATCTGTCTCCGCTGCCTTTTGTTGTTGATGGTTCGTCGTCTGTCTCCGCTGCCTTTTGTTGATGGTTCGTCGTCTGTCTCCGTTGCCTTTTGTTGTTATCGCTGCTGGCCTTCCACTTGCGAGCAGCTTTTTTTAAGCTTTCAGATGTTTATTTTTTGTTGACTCATTTGATGTTATTGTAGTCAAGAATAAAATATTTTTGTTTTGCGGCATCAAATTTGTCTGCATAACAGAGTTTTCCTGGCGATGAAACACTGGTTTTTACTGGAACAGAAGCACGCATGTACAAAGGTAACTGCCCACTCTCATCGTGATCTGGCTGCGTACCGTTCATGACTAGCTAACGCATGTACAACAGCTCTCGAATATGATCAACAGAAGCGCCGTGTGTCATGCGGCTCCGGCCTGCTTCAATACTCATTATAGGCCGGCTCCGGCTAAGTGATCTGATTTCGTCCTCGGTCGGTAAGGTCACACAAATGTACTCTGCCTGTCATCGCGACGCCATACGGACTCGAGAGATGTGGACAACACTGGCGCGCTTTTTATCTTGATTTCTGTGCGTCCTCGGTCTTACCGAGGTCGTCTCACTGCGCATCAGACATGTTGGTGAGTTCGCATGGCCTGGAGCCGTAAAGAGCCGTCGGCCGATTTCGTTTAACGGTTTATAAACATCTAATGTAGTTCAAAAAAGTTATGTCAAGTTGGCGAGAAAAAACACGCCATATGTGGCATCATGTGAGAGAACAGACTGCACTGAAGTAAGTGTTCTCTTTTTGTTTTTGGAGTCCGTCTCCAAGCAGTCACAACCATATATTCCGTAGGTGGCCGTTACCGGAAAAGCTATTGTCAAATGCTACCAAAATAGCGACACCTTTCTTTACTTCCTGTTCAGAGCGATAGACAGCTATTTCAACGCGTTAACACTATTCGGCGGCTGGTTCCCAAACGTAGGTATCGCATTCCATGCTTTCAGCACGGTTTTCAAAAGGTTGTCACGTTCACCACTGACAACTCAAGTTCGTTGCTTAACCCGCTCTTGGTGCTGCTCGTCCAAATTCCGCGTCTGATCCAAGTAGAAACACAATGCACACGCAATGGTCACAACGTACAACCCCCCTTTTTTACGGAGGTTTGATACCTGATAATTGAAAGCAAGGACTTTGGTCATTCAGGGGCGGATCCAGAGAGGGAGCCACGGGGTCATGCCCCGTTGGGGCCCCGAAGGGGCTCATAAGCTCCGGAGGGACCATAGCTGGCCGAACAGACACAGTTTTTAGCGCAAAACTCAACAAAACTAGACGACTTTGGGTCTCCATGCGACCAAGAACAGCAAGCGAAAGTGGAGGGCCCACGAGCACACACAAATACTCATTTGCAGGTTGAAAGGGGGTTGATTGGGGATATTTTAGAGCCTTAGAGGGCCCGAACGATCGAGTTTGCTTGAGCAGGTTAACTCATGGGCCCCTCACAAGAGCGTAGGGCCCTGCAAGCAAAAATGACGTACCCAAGTCCCAATGTTTGGGGGGGGGCCTCGGGCGATCGAGGGTGCCCAAGCGGGTTAACAGATGGGCCCTCCCGAACAAGAGCGAAGCGTCCTTCATTCAGATAAGAAGCACCCAAGGCTCAATGTGGAGCGCCTCGAGCGATCGACCATGCCTGAAGAGGTTCACAGGTGGGGCCCTGTGACAAGAGCATAGGGCCCCCATTTAAATAGGAAAGAGAGGAACGCGAGAGGACTTCCCGCCCTTCGTGGACGTCGTCGATGTGTCCTGTGCAGAGAAGCAGGACAGGCGGCTCGAGAGTGCCAAGGAATTTGTCTCAGCTGCTGTGGAGCCAGCACTGACAGGCGAGGTCCTCGGTACTGCGATTCAGACAGTTGCGCAGAACATGGAGCTGAACCTGAACAACTGAATCGGTCAGGGATACGACGGAACGACAAACATGTCTGATGCTGCTAAAGGCGCGTCGGCAGTGATCCGAGGGGAATTTAAATTTGCAGAATACGTGCACTGCGCCTCCCACATCCTGAATCTGAGTAAAGGCGCGTCTTCGAGGCAACAAAGCATCGACAACATGCTGGGGACTTAGGAGAGGTGGTGAACTTTTTCCAGACACCAAAGAGGAACTTAATGCTGCAGGCCGCTGCGAAATTTTCGGTCAGACGCCAAGAAACAAATTGCGGTTGAAGCAGCTGTGCGAGGCTTGCTGGGTAGACCGCACGATGCGCTGGACAGGTTCACTGAGTTGACTGACACCGTCCTTGAGGCTTTAGGGGAGATGGCCAGCTGGGGAGACTCTCCACAGCAAGTCAAGCGCAGCAGCTATCGGGCTCTGTGAAGGGCGTAGAATTCCCCATCTCGCTTCATGCGGCGGCGGACGTCGGCTTCATCACGCGGCAGCTGTCAGTACAGCTTCAGAAGTCTACCAAGACGCTGTCCTCGCTGTCAAGCTGGTGGATGAAGCACGACAGGCACTGAGCAAGCGGTGGAGAATGTTAGCGGCTGTAAGCGAGGCAGGGTCCCAAAGTCCGTGGTAGACTGGCAAATTTTGATACAGTGAGATGGGTCCCGTACAACTAACATGCATGGGAATCTTGAAATTTAATGACCGGAATACGAGGATCATTTTGGGTGAGGGGGGCCCTGACTCAAGGAAACCCGCAATGTTGCGTGCCCCCCCCCCCCCTGACGAAATCCTAGATCCGCCCTTGTGGTCATCTGTGCATTTACAACATTTACGCCGAACATAAAACTTTGCGATGCTATTGTGGCGATCCCCTTATCTACGTCGTCAAAGGTCTACGTAAGGAAAATGCTGAGAACCTTTGCTTTGCGTGGCTTTCGCAATCCAATGTGTGTGTCGCCTTTCATTTATTTATGCCTACCAATATGTGAAATGGTTGCGTAATGGGTATCTTCATCGGCTCAAATATTAAAACCGAATGGAATGTTTCACCCTCCAACGCAACCAGGAAATAATGAAAAGAGCCTATTGTAAATGCCTCACCCGTTCGCCGCGTGCGCGTGGCAATGTCATGGCTTCCCGCGGCTCTGGAGTACCTCTGGCCCGGCGGCTTAGGGCCCGGGCTGGCAGTCACCATAGGCAGCGGCTCATCACTCGCCAGACGGGGACTCAGAAAAGGCAGAGCTCTGCAGCAGGGCCGAGAGCGCACGCGCCAGACGGGGACATGGAAAGGCAGAGCTCTGCAGCAGGGCCGAGAGCGCACGCGCCAGACGGGGACATGGAAAAGGCAGAGCTCTGCAGCAGGGCCGAGAGCGCACGCGCCAGACGGGGACATGGAAAAGGCAGAGCTCTGCAGAAGTGCCGAGAGCGCACACGCCAGACGGGGACCCAGAAAAGGCAGAGCTCCGCAGGAGAGCCGAGAGCTCACACGCCAGACGGGGACTCAGAAAAGGCAGAGCTCTGCAGGAGAGCCGAGAGCGCACGCGCCAGACGGGGACTCAGAAAAGGCAGAGCTCCGCAGGAGAGCCGAGAGCGCACGCGCCAGACGGGGACATGGAAAGGGCAGAGCTCTGCAGGAGAGCCGAGAGCGTGCACGCCAGACGGGGACATGGAAAAGGCAGAGCTCTGCAGCAGGGCCGAGGGCGTGCACGCCAGACGGGGACATGGAAAAGGCAGAGCTCTGCAGCAGGGCCGAGGGCGTGCACGCCAGACGGGGACGCGGAAAAGGCAGAGCTCTGCAGCAGGGCCGAGGGCGTGCACGCCAGACGGGGACGCGGAAAAGGCAGAGCTCTGCAGCAGGGCCGAGGGCGTGCACGCCAGACGAGGACGCGGAAAAGGCAGAGCTCTGCAGAAGTGGCGCGAGCGCACGCGCCAGACGGGAACCCAGAAAAGGCAGAGCTCTGCAGAAGTGCCGCGAGCGCACATGCCACTGGGCGAAGGCGACAGTCGTCTGGGAGTAGGATGCGACCGCATGTTTGTTGACCTCGTATCGCCTAGGAGGAGTGACGCATCACGATCAGACGACTGTCGGCGCGAGCGCCACTGCTCGAGGGTCGCTTCACGCGTGTCCGGGCGTGAAGGACAGCGGCTCCGCTCGTATTCGCCGAGGGACTAGGGCGGCCGAAACTGATGTTGCTGAAGCTGGTGGAAACGTGGACGTCTTCGACGGTACAAATACCCCAAAATACCGAAAACGCAGATCTGTGACGGTGGTAAATGAATTGAGCGCGCTTGCATTGTCCTTTTATTTTGTCAGAAACTGCTGGAGATGAGAAAGTGCTGAAACCAAAAGGCCCCGTTCCAACGCGTCGCACTGCACATGGTATGACATGCGGCACGTCGCGTGACGTGCGGTATGTGTCCCTTATGTATCGGTGTTGTGCAAGGACACCGTCACGTTACGGGTCGAGGCTCGGAAATCGCTCCAGTTATGCCACCAACATCTTCACAGCACGAGCCATATATTGTCTGATGCGGGGACGAGGGGCCTGCCGGCTGCCCCGGCTGCGGCCGGCACCACACCGGATCTCAGCTGGCTGAACATGGTGTGGGCAGGTGGCTATTCCTGTCGTTGGTGGTACGCTTCGGACATGCGTACAATCAACGGAAGGGGTTAAAACCCATCCATCTTCCATCCATCCATTAATCCAGCCATCCGTCTTCAACTACGTGACGTTACTCAGGGCTGAAAGACAAAACTTTTTGCTCCTACGTTGCAATACTGAGATTTCTGTCAGTCAGCAGTCACACTTGTAATTGTTGATATCTGTCGTCCTGGCATTTCCTAGCTTTTGTCAGGTTCTGTTACGAGACATTACCCTTCATGTCGCGAGACATAACGCTACGGATGTTTTATGACATAACAGTTGTCGATACGATGGTCGACATGTGCACTGTTAGCTTAAACCGGCCTGAGCCGATCCATGTGAGTTACGTCTCTATAAAATAAAAAGCGGACGGTGTAGAGACGACCGGCGTTTTGTTTTATCTTCAGCCAAACCACGCGACCATGTTGCAGACAGCATAATGTCCCAGTAGTATGTATGTAAATGGATGTACCTTTGCACATCTGCATTGCTTTGAGCATATTTGATACACCTGTGCTTATCGCCTGCCATTTTTGGTTCACCATGTAGTTTTCTGGCTTGGATGCTTTCAAGCATGAATTGTCTCA